TCCCACCACCCTCCAGCCTGCCAGAGAGCCCAGCCTTCCCCTCCCTGCAGCCTCTCACCCTTCAGCTCCAAGTCCAGAGGCTCCTGCAGGCCGTCGTGCTCCACGTGGCACCGATAGCGGCTCCTCTCTTTGGGGTCGATCCGGATGCTGAGCCAGAAGTGGTAGGTCCCATCTGAATTGGGGGCCACAAACCCATGGAGGGTGTCCTGCAGCCAGACCTCCCCGTCCCGTGTCCAGGAGGCATCGATCTCCCTGGGGTAGAAGCCATCCACGCGGCAGATGTGTGTTTCCATCCCATCCTCCACCTCCGTCCTGCTGCTCACCGTCACCTTTGGAGTCTCTGCAAAAACGGCACCCCCAGAATTAACTCTGAGCCCCTCCAGAGCCTGGAAGGTGGATGGGAAACTTGAAAGGGCAAGAATATCTCCTACTTTTTCCCACTCCACACCAGCAGTGTCTCGCAAGAGTTTTAGGAAATGCTCCAAATCTGGAAATCTCTCAACTCCTGATTTTGAGTCCTTCCCAGGGGCTCAGCCTGAAAAACCTCCGGCAGCAAATTGAGGCTCCAAGGAAATTCCTCTCTGGCTGCTTTGAACTCTGACTGATCTTGGGCTGCTCCCTTCAGGGGAAAGACAGGCTAAAGACCAGGGATCCAAAGGGGCTGAATGTGTACAGGAGATCCAGCCTTAAAGGAGGAAAGTCCAGCCTGGATCCAGATGCTCACCTGTCCTCAGCAGAATCTCCTTCCCATAGGACAGGTACTTCCCCAGCCACTCAATGCAGATTTCCTCCAGGTAGGACTTCTTTCTCTGATTCCATCCTGGAAGAGCATTCCATTTCCTCCGGGTGATCTGGGCCTGGAGGTCAGGAGCCACCCAGGTGAGGGTCTCCTTATCAAAGGTGAGGAAGGTCCTCCCATCATATCCATACTGGTGAAACCCTCCTTTGCGCCCATCTTCCCAGAGCTCACAGCCATACAACCACTGTATTACGTGAAGCCCTGAAATAGAGAAAAGATGATAGCTTGGGGAATCCTCAAGATAGACAGAGACCCCACCTCCCTTCAGGGACTTTGACACTGGAGGGAGACACTGACACCCCCATTTTCTCTCAAGCGCTCAAGGGAAAAAATGCCCCCACCACTAACCATCTTCTCCCCTCCCTCAACCTGCATCCTTGCATGGAGCCCCTAAACCTCCCGAGGGAAAAGGGAATCTGGAAAAGCCAGCAGAGGATCCCAAGGGAGATTGAGAGAAGAAGGAGTCGCATAAGAAACGCTTCCATCCTTCCTTCTGCCATTCCTCCGCAGGGGAAACCCTTGGGGGGAAACAAAGGGATCCCAGAGAGGGAACAGTTGCCTGAATCTGCAGTTGCAAAGAGGGAATGAGAAATGGTCTCAAACAAGATCTAATCAATCTGCAAAGAAGTTTGCAGGGATCACTGTGATCATAAATCATGCTCTGTGTTTACAAATAGCACAAAGTCACAAGGGCTGGTTCCCACTTTGGGCTGACCAGAAGCAAATCATGGTTTAGTGTAATGTGAGAATGAAGTCTTGAAGGGTCTCAAATTAATTTTTTCCCTCAGCAACAGCAGCAAGTGGCCCAGTCTGATCTGGAGACCCAAAGGATTATTGACCTTGGAAATGAAGTTTGAAGCTTACAGGCTCTGGAAGGCCCTGGAGAAGATATATCAACTTCAAGTGAAGAGATTCTTGGATTTAAAAGAAAACCAAAAGGAAATCCTCAATTCTTTCTACTCCTGTGTGGGCTTGAGAGGGAGGAAGGATGCCAGGAACCCTCGAATATAAGGGAAAACCACCTGGAAGTAGAGTTGAACTAAACTGACCAGTCCTCTCCTTTCCTCTCCACACCCAGGAATGACAGGTGAGGGGATCCTTTCTCTGCATCTTCTGCTCAGCCAGAGAACTTCCCTTTGGAGGAAGAGGAAGATCCTCAGGAGATCCAGTCTGATCCTTCCCTCGAGAGGAGATTCCCTGATCTCCCCATGGGAAAAATAGTTCTGGATTTCTGTCCAAGAAGAATCTCCTGCCATTCACAGGAAAGCACTAAATATTTGGCTGCAGTTTTTAATTTCTGAGAACAAATTCTGTCATTTCAGAAGCATCCAAAGCTAAGACAGAAATTGTCTTCTTTCCCTTGAAGATGAAATGTGTTCTTATCTCAGGTTTGGCACAGAATTGAATATTTGTGCAGCAAAAAGAAAGCACAAGGATCAAATTGAAAAGGC